CCGGCCCCCCCCCCCCCCCCTCCCCTCCCCTCCCCCAACCCACACCTACAACTACCACCGTTATTCGCCAACAACCATCCCTCGTCGCCCACCATCACTCACACCCACCACCACAAGATCACTGGCACCAGCATGGCTGCCACCACCACTATAGTCATTGGCGCTCACTCAACACCACCACCACTATCACCGCTCATTTCCACTGCAATTAGTGCTTAAATTTATTTCTCTCTCTTTTATATATTTGTGATTTAATTTTGAACTTGAATACAAATATATTTATGATTGGCGGCGGCATCATCGCTCACTTCCACTACAAGCCGTGCTCAAATCCCTCTCTCTCTCTTTTATATTTGTAATTTAATTTTAAGTATAAAAACAAATATTTTTATGATTGAGAATAACTAGTTTTCAATATGACAGAAGATGAAATGTATTGTAGGTAAATATTAAGGGTGACAATGTAGTTTACTATTCCTTTTTCGCCCTCCTTCATATCCTGTCGCTTCTTCTGAAAACATTCACTGTATTTATTAGATTGCCCAGATAACGAATTTTTTTGGCGATACTTCGTAAATCTACTTTTTCAGTGAGGGTATGCACAACATTTTTTACCAAGGGTTTAAGCACCCAAAAATTCAGACCTCACACATAGTTTAATCAAAGAATATTTTGGTTCTTTTACAGGCAAGGACAGTAGCACAACTCGAACTGTCATCATTATTGTGGTGCCAATTGTGATCTCTGTGATTCTTATCATCATGTTCATTTGCATCTTTCAACGAAAGAGGAAGCATCGGAAGCCAACAGCGAAAATTGAGAGTAAGTTCAAATTCATTTCCCACAGTATTAATCATTTAATGAAATCAAGGAGAATGCAACAGTTTCAAGTATTGCGAATAATACAAATTTAATAAGTAAGCATATACTCAATTCCAAGTTGTTATATTTTTGCGCAGCTATGGATGAAATAAGCAGCATAGAAACTTTGCGGTACGACTTTGGAGCTATAAGAATTGCGACAGATAACTTCTCTGATAGTAACCAGCTTGGACAAGGTGGATTTGGTGTAGTTTATAAGGTAAATGAACATTATGATTTGCAAGTCTATCACGCTATATTCAATCAAAAAACTTGCATTCCTTGAGAGAATTAATTTGTTTGACACTGGTGTTAATGTACCTGTAGGGTACGCTCCCCAACGGAAAAGAAATAGCTGTTAAGAGACTGTCCAGAGATTCCGGACAAGGTGAACAGGAATTTAAAAATGAAGTATTGTTGGTGGTAAAGCTTCAGCACAAGAATTTGGTTAGACTACTAGGTTTCAGTCTGGAAGGAACAGAAAAGCTCCTCGTATACGAATTTATGCCCAATGCAAGTCTTGATCATTTCTTATTTGGTATGAAATATCCTTGACAGCCTACCTTCTCTAAAGTTTTAATCTTTATTGACTTAATTCAGGATACAAATATGTACACAAGTGAAGAATGTTGAACTGAAAGCATTCAGAAACTCAATTTGCTAAATTATCACATAAAACTGAAATGCATGTGATATATTATTAGTTTCTAAAAGAATTGTGATTTGTTAGAACTCAAACTAAACGATATGCTTGGCTGGATTTGTAGATCCCATCAAACGAGAACAACTAGATTGGGATAGGCGCTATAAAATCATAGGAGGTATTGCCAGGGGACTTCTGTATCTTCATGAAGATTCTCAACTTCGGATCATTCATCGTGATCTCAAAGCCAGTAATATTTTATTAGATGCATATATGAATCCTAAAATTTCAGATTTTGGGATGGCAAAGCTTTTTGCGGTCGATGAAACTCAAGGCAATACGAATAGGATTGCAGGGACCTAGTAAGTATTACATTTGCTTAATCAAGCATCAAATAAGTCGTGACTTACACCTGTTTCATTCTCGTGTCAATTATGAATCAATGAAGTAGCACAAAAAATGGAAAATTCGTAGGTTTGAGTACAATTGGTCATGAAGACACAAAATTGTGACTTGCTGAAACCATTGGGGAAAACATAAGAGGTTTACATTGAAGCCTGCAAGTCTCAACATTGTCTTCAATTACTAACAAAGCATCATGATTTGAATATTGCAGTGGTTATATGGCACCAGAATATGCAATGTATGGTCAATTCTCAGTTAAGTCAGATGTCTTTAGCTTTGGTGTATTAATTCTTGAAATCGTAAGTGGTCAAAAGAACCACAATTTCCGACATGGGGAGAGTGTAGAGGACATTCTAAGCTATGTAAGTATGAATAAGTATGATGCATTACTTGCTTCATAAATTACAATCAATCAAAGCTCTTAACTACACATATTACTTTCTTGTAGGCTTGGAAAAATTGGCAAGCTGGGGCAACTTCAAATCTTATTGATCCAAACTTAAGGGCTGGTTCAGGTTCAGTACGAGACATGATGAGGTGCATCCATATTGGATTGCTATGTGTTCAGGAAAATGCAACAGATAGACCTACCATGGCTGCGGTTGTTCTCATGCTTAATAGCTTCTCTATTACTCTCCCAGTACCCTCAGAGCCCGCATTTTTTATGCACAGTAGCATTGATCCAGAAATGCCATTGCTTCGAGAGTATGATTCAGGAGCATGTCAAACTAGTGAATCAAAAACAACGAAAAATAAATATGGCCATGAGTCTGTGAACGAGTCTTCAATTACTGAGTTATATCCTAGATAGTACCTTTGGTCACATGATATAGCGATAAGCATGTCGACACTATTTTGTTTCAACTTGGTTTGTTTCGATTTGGAGCTATTGCTCATTTGGGTTGGAAGAGGACAAGACCCTACATGTGAACATGCTTGCTTTATTATTTTGATTTATTCTATTATTTCATGTGTTTGTAGGTGTTTCAAAATACATATATTCTTAATTTTTGTCAAATACTTTCACGATTGGTTGTGGAGAGTTGTATACTTGTTTTAATATACATTTAGTGGCCACAATAAATTTCTTTTGGTATTAGGCTAGTACCATGAGCTATATATGTTACTTGTATTGAATAACAGTTATTTATTTATTTATTTATTTATTTTGTGGGTGGTATGTCCGGAACAATTCAACGTAACTATCAAGTCATGACAACAAACAATGGAGTCTTATCAAATATTTCTTAAGACAACTAAATCTTACTGTTTTTACATATTATCGAACAAGGTCTTAGTTTTTGTTACAAAAAATATTGAGAATATCAAATTTTTCTATTATTATTCAACATAATTTCAATCCTAACTTTATATCATTCATCTTTTACTCAGTAGCTTTTAATTACAAAAAATACCATTCCCACATAAATCACTAATAACATATGATGTCCAAAAAATTATGTTAGATACTTATAAAAATTCCTAAAATTTTAGTTTATATCAGTAATATGATGCTAACAAAAATATGACTGATTACTAGAAAATAAAAATTCTTATATAAGTTTATGTAAAAAAATGGTTCATTTACATAATTTGCCAAACATCATATAAACTCATATATCTATTGTTCTCTATTCTATTTGTTTTCGATTTTTTAAACAATTAAGTTGACTAAGAAATTATAAACGAAAAAATGTGACTGACGTTTGAATAGCAAATGGTAAAATGGAATGGGGATATGATTGATAGAGCTTTAAATTAATCTGAAACCAATGTCAAATATAGTACTTAAGTATCCTATTAAACAATTGATAGGGATCGATGGTTGTTTTGTTATACAAAATAAGAATTATAGGTTATTTTTCCAACTTAAAATCTTGTTCAACTCCATAAACTATTGGGCCCAAACATGGAGAAGATCTTGGGGCTTGTAAATCACTATTTGTAGACTAATTTTGGCTGACACAAAGAAGGGAATTTTTAATTTAGGCTCAACTAATTAAAAGAAGATTGCACATTTGCCTTGTGAAATGTGCTTACACCAACATGGCTCATAGCTCAACGGGCGAGGCCCCTACATTAGCTGGACTATCGGTCCGTTGACTGGTCAATGGGCTTAGAAGAAATGACAGTCCTCTGGTTATTCATTAAACTAGTCCCAAAGGATTTTTAGACGGGCAAAAAGCAAGAATATTATTTTAATATAAATAAATTAAATTAATACAATTAAATTTTTTGAATTTTGACAAGTGAGATGTATAGGGGCCTCCTAGTGAGGTGTCAGCCCGAACCATGGCCCAATAAACATAAGAATTAGCCCATCAGCCTTGGGTCATTTCCCAAGTCTTCAAGGAATTCAACTTGATTTTCCTAAGGCGTGCATTCTTAGGCCAACCCATTATCCTTCAGCTCAATCAAGTTTTGATATTCTCATGCTCAGCTAATCTTAGTTAAGTCGTGCACATAATTTGGCTCAACTTGGACTATGGAGTATCTATTTTTTTTTAGACTCGACTCGATTAGTAAGTGAGATGTTCAGGCTCATCCTCTAGAAAGAATACCGACACTTAGGATCTATCAACCTTCCATTTAATTAAAATATTTTGATAAATAAATAAAACCCAATACCAACATTGTTAAAATCACATGAACAGTTCTCCAAAAAACTGAGAGATGCTTAATAATGTGAGCATGAAAATTTGGGCAGACCTAGTCGAACCCAGTTTTTTATCTTGACAAATTAAACAATTTTTCCAAAGAATCTTTATTCACATGCATGTGTAAATACCCAAAACAAAAGGCATAACCCAGATCAATCAAAATCGGACAAGTAGAATGAGATTTTAGAGGAGAAAGCATAGAGCAAAAATGAGGGAAACAAGCTTACCAAAATGAAAGAAGGTGCAGTCCTATTGGCTTCGTGAGAGCTCACGGACAGTCTCAAAGCTTCTGATTGGACTCCAAGGTTCTATCAACAGAAAAACAGAAAAAAAAATCAGAAATCAACAGAAAAAGAGAGGAATAAGAAGAAACAGAGAGAAAGGGATCACTTCGAGGGGATCGTCCTCCAAGTGCCTTAAGCAATTTACTGCGTATATGCCCTAAGGGCACATAGGACATTACAATTTATACTACTTCAAAGAAACTAATTAGGAAAGAAAACATTTGGGTTCCTACTGCTAGAATTATGGGATACAATTTAGGGATTGTATCATTCGCCTGCCCTGAGAAGCAACGAAATCTAGAANGACATTACAATTTATACTACTTCAAAGAAACTAATTAGGAAAGAAAACATTTGGGTTGCTACTGCTAGAATTATGGGATACAGACATGTTTTAAAAGAATTTTAAAAAGAATTGCATAGCAAAAAATATTATCACNTCTCCAGTACTGATTGGTAAAGCTCCCACGTTGCATCTTCTTCAAGCAAATTAGCCCACTGAATAAGGACTTCAACTGATGCACGATTATTTCGCTTGACCATTCTACGCTCCAAAATTGCTTGAGGTTGAAATTTAATTTCGTCATTGAGAGAAGCATCAGGCAAGTGCGTTTGAGACAAGACATGATCACGTAGCTTCTTCTTCAAACAAGGGACGTGGAAAACCGGATGTATTTTGGACCCATCAAGTAAATCGAGACGATAAGCAACTGGCCCTATGCGTTCGCTCACCTTGTATGGCCTGTAGAATCGTGGAGATAACATTGCTGACACATGGACATTAATAGAGGCTTGTCGATAGGGTTATAGAAAAATAAAAACCCAATCACCAACTTCAAATTTCCATTCACTCCGATGCTTGTCTGCTTGTTGCTTCATTCTAGCTTGGGCAGCATGCAGATTATTATTAAGAAGCTGCAGGACACGGTCTGTGTCATATAAATTATGATCCACCTAATGCACATTTGAAGAGCCATGAAGATAAGTGGAAATAACTGGTGGAGCAGGACCATAGGCTGCCTCAAATGGAGTAAGCTGTCCCAGAATGATACATTGTATTACACCACCACTCTGCCAAGGAAGCCATCGTACCCATTCTTATGGTCGATCACTAGTACAACAACATAAATAGTTTTCTAAGCATCGATTGACGACTTTGGTCTGACCATCAGTCTGAGGATGATATCTCGTACTCATTTGCAAGTGTGTACCCTGCAGACGAAAAAGCTCCTTCCAAAAATTAGTCATAAACACCTTGTCCCTGTGACTCACGACAGATTTTGGAAAGCCATGTAGCTTAACAATGTAGTCAAAAAACAGTGAACAATGGTCAATGCTGTGTATGGGTGTGATACAGGGCAAAAATGAGCATATTTATTATTTAGTGAGACAATCCACAACCACAAAAATTATAGTTTTACCCTGTGATTGAGGTAGTCCATCCACAAAATTCCATAGATACGTCATACTCTTGGACTTTATGTCTAATTAATATTGGACTCTATTGTTGAACTTTATGTCTAATATTGGACTCTATATCTAATTAGATACTTAAGATGGTCCACATGTCATGTCATCTTTTTAATAAATAAATATTATGTATATTTATATCCTATTTACAGAGTTAAATTCTTCTGGGTAACTGACATTTAGGTAACTATCCACTACTCCCATAATCAAATAGAGTGACTATCATGGAGCAGTTTAAAGCAGTTGTAACTCTTTAATAGAAGAACTTTACTTACGGGTTCTTTATTGGATAAGGGTCTCTGCCTATATATATTCTCATGCCTGTAATTTTTTATCTAGTCATATGTATATTCAGATATTATATACTAGAAATTGTCCGTGCCTGAAGGCATTATATAACAAATAAAAAAATTGCATACAATTACTCTTGCATGAAGTCACTATATGACAAAAAGTTGGCAATCAAAAAAACTGAGAAATATCATCAACCAATATAAGTAACTATTAACACAAAAAATAACCTTTGACTAAAAATACATTGCAACACAAATAGCACCACCCTAAAAATAGCTTGCTTTCACAAGCTCAACGAGTTTATCAATCAGCAAATCACCCATCAATGTAGCACACAACTCCTATAGCAATTAGAAAAAACCCATATAGCACCAACTACAAAGTTACTGACTTGGAAAATCATTTTACTGCTAAACGACATTCATTTTGAGAAGAACCACAGTTAAAAAAACCTTAGATAACAAAAAATTATTCACCTTAACATTATCCCCCGATAGTTGAGATCCATTATCCATACAAAAAAGTA